AGGCTCTCTAGCCAACAAAGCATCCCAAGACATGAGAAGTGTGGAGGTGTTGAAGAGACAAAATCAAAAGCAAGTAGTGCAGGAAGAATGCTAGCTGTAGGAAGAAAGACCGCCCTATACACAACGCTTTCAAGAAGGATGGGGTTTCCCCTTTCCTGTAGTGTGTTATGTAGTGTGTATGTAAATGGTCTGCAAAGGCTACAATCCCAAAGTTTCTCTCCCACACGCTGGTGGGGGGGGGGGGGACACCTGCCTGAAACGCCTCCATTGGACTCCTTTGTTTATTTTATTATCTTTTCTTTTTAATGACTGATTTTAAATGCCATTTTTAAAATGTCTTCCATTTTTGTAAAGCACTTTGAATTACCTTGTGTTGAAAGGTGCTATATAAATAAACTTGCCTTGCCTTGCCTTGCCTAATAGTGACATCACTCTGTAACACTCTGGCTTTTATTGGGTAGTGATCCAACACATAGTAAGTGATAGGCAAAAGGTCGGGACATCACTGAAGTGTTGACCAATCACAACAGAGCCGGCCAGCTAACCAATCAGAGCAGACTGGGCTTTATTTTTCAGCAGTATGAGAAAAAGAAAGACCTTTTTGAACATTAAAGCATGTAAACATGTCAGAGTAGAGGCACAAACACAAATATAAAACCTGAGAATGAGCGTAATATGGCCTCTTTAACATGTCGACAAATTGAAAGCTTGACAAACCAGCTTTCCCAAGATGCTGTTGTTCAACTCCGATAGTGCAGTTGCAATTCAGGGTTGTACAAACGGTCAAGTGAATGGTCACCAATGCACACAAACATTAACATTGTGTAATAGTCACAGGATTTGTACTAACTAACTCATCAATAAACAGCCAAATAGCACATAACTAGCCATCAAAACAAACTGCACTATAATCTAACACTGCCTGGCTAACAAGTGTGAGCTGTTCCACTTTTCAACAAATCCTGCTGACAGGTAAAAATACTCTGAATTACTAAAGCACCAAACACGAGCAAACATTTGTTCAGCACATTGACAGGGAAATGAACTTGTTGTTTCATTCTTGGTCAGTTTAAAAGCTTTATCATCCATTTCCTGCCATAAGAAACTTTGAGTCAGTGAGGCGCTGTTTAGATTTGATACAGAAGCGTGTCTTCCCACAAAGCCACAGATGAACTCTGAATCTGCAGCGCTGTAATGGGATTATGAGCAGGAACTCAATCATCCAGCTGCTTCACGGAACGCCTCGACAGTGTGTGCCAATCTTCAAAATAACGTTTTTCCCTTTCACTCACAGGTTTAATCACACCTTCCCCGGCCGTCACAGCTCAGAATGTCTCCTCTCCCAGGGCCTGAGTCCCAATCCTATCAAGCTGAAACAGGAACAAAGACCGCTGTCCCCCTGCTTCCTCCTCCCCTCAGCAATCTCTGAAAAATCCCCTCCTGGTCCTGGTCCTCACCTCTGAGCGACCTGCCAGAGCTCATAATCCAAACTCATTTAGAAATGCAGAAAAAGTCCCGGTAAGCTCCAATGTCGCGTCAGGAAATATTGGTGCGTGTAAAATATTCATGCCGAGGTGCTCTAGTCACTGTTTCATTCTCTGCATCAGGCAGTGGATATTAGCAAGTGTTTTTGGAGACTTGACTCTTTTATAATCCTCTGTGGCCGTAGTGCTTGGTCAGATGGAGTTCTTGATTTGTGACTGCGAGTGATAATGGCTGAGCTTCATGCCTCAGCAATTTCAAATTAAATGCATAACAAAATGTCTGAATTGTCTCAAACAGCCACGGACTAATGCCCCTTTTCCGCAATGTACTGTACATAGGATTTTACATTTTGTATCGACTAAAAATGAACATAAGGACCATAACAGAGGCTCAGAATTAAGGTTATGTGCTGATCTTTGAATAACCCACTCATCATTTCATCATGGTGGCAGCAGACTTAGCAAGAAATCCAAGTACTTTTTTTTTCAGTTGTATCCTATAGCGCTTCTAGTATCCTGATTGTATTCTCAGGCCACATTGCAACACTTTAAGGTATACAATTTCAATTCCAATCCATTCCCACAATATATATCATCAAAATATGACAAAGAAACTATACATAGAAAATAGTTTTTGCTAAATATAGCCTATGCAACCACATTGTAGGAGCCATATGTTAAATTGTATAGTTTGATATATTTGAATATTATAATCCTTTGTTGTTAGTGCTATTATATCATTTATTTGAACCAGCCGTGTGGAATTGACGGCATAGACGACCGCAGCTGTTTGTGATTACGAGACGTTATAGCCGACGGCAGCTGCTGGTGATTGTGTGTGGGTGAGAAGGAGAAAGAAGCACAGAGCAACATCGTTTTTTGACCTGTGAAAATATGTGTTATTTGATACCTTTTGTTTTAAGTAAAGAGTCAAACAAACTATCCTGAGAGGTATTTTGTCCGAGTCAAGCTTATTGCTACCTGTGAATCGAATTTTGGATTACACACATACATGTCACATGAAACTTGAGCTTCCTTAACCAACAGATCAAACAAACATTGTATTGCTATATGAGAGTAAAACAGCAACATGAAAAACGGG